ATAGTCAAAATCTCTATCGTTGGCCAAATTTATATAGTTTCTATCGCCCACCCCTAATTTTAAGCATCAGTAAGTGAAACCTTTGTGGTGGTGAGAATAAGGAACGGCGGGACCACGGAATATCATTTTGAGCCGTTTTTATTCACACTCACCACAACAACAACCACACACACCTGAGTCCCCGTGTTTTAACCCGATCTATGAGGTTAAAACCTCATAGATCCCAAAACATTTTTTAATTGCTGCATTTCTGAAGTTCTCCCTGACAGTGAGACGTCCTCTCTAATAATGCTATGACTTTCGGTGGTGATTCTTCACATGATTTTCACAAAATCCAAAAAACAGAATTTTTCCCGATTCATTTGAATTGGAAAGTGTCCGAAAAAAGGAGCACCAATTTTTATCTAGAATTTGACTTTTCAAGGAATTTTGTTGCCACTGGATGATGTCATCACCTGCTCTAAAAACTGAGTCTGGAGAACAAAGTGGAAGAAATGTCTTTCTCTTTATTTCACGCCCAAAACTTTTGCCCTACACGGACCATATGTACAGGTCCTTCTCAAAAAATTAGCATATTGTGATAAAGTTCATTATTTCCTGTAATGTACTGATAAACATTAGACTAAATTAAACCCAAAATTCCTATCTCAAAAAATTAGCATATCATGAAAAGGTTCTCTAAACGAGCTATTAACCTAATCATCTGAATCAACGAATTTACTCTAAACACCTGCAAAAGATTCCCGAGGCTTGTAAAAACTCCCAGCCTGGTTCGTTACTCAAAACCGCAATCATGGGTAAGACTGCCGACCTGACTGCTGTCCAGAAGGCCATCATTGACGCCCTCAAGCAAGAGGGTAAGACACAGAAAGAAATTCCTGAACGAATAGGCTGTTCCCAGAGTGCTGTATCAAGGCACCTCAGTGGGAAGTCCGTGGGAAGGAAAAGGTGTGGCAGAAAACGCACAACGAGAAGAGGTGACCGGACCCTCAGGAAGATTGTGGAGAAGGACCGATTCCAGACCTTGGGGGACCTGCGGAAGCAGTGAACTGAGTCTGGAGTAGAAACATTCAGAGCCACCGTGTGCAGGCGTGTGCAGGAAATGGGCTACAGGTGCCGCATTCCCCAGGTCAAGCCATTTTTGAACCAGAAACAGCGGCAGAAGCGCCTGACCTGGGCTACAGAGAAGCAGCACTGGACTGTTGCTCAGTGGTCCAAAGTACTTTTTTCGGATGAAAGCAACTTTTGCATGACATTCGGAAATCAAGGTGCCAGAGTCTGGAGGAAGACTGGGGAGAGGAAAATGCCAAAA